TAGAAAATGGTGGCGCGTGGCGGTGCTTCTAGGCACGTAGGTCCTGCCAGGTGCCCGCTCTGGCCATGCCCCAGAAGCGGAGCCACCGGGTCTCGACATCGATTTCAAGCACATTCCGTCCTCCGTCTGGAGGAAGTGGTGCTTAACCCTTTGGGGGCTGAGACCCTTCGCGCCTGACACAGGCTAGGGGCCTCCCGCCCGCCGTGGACCCCTCGCCTCCGCATGACCCTTCATAGTCACTCTTTGCCGGCTGGAAGGGGAGCCCCTCCTGCGTGGCCGTCGCTTCCAGGCGCTAGGGGTACGGAATGAACTTGGCAAAGTTGCCACCCCCTGGAGTTTGCATCGCAATTTTTGACCCTCCTGCCTCCCCACCCCCAGCTCATCCTCGAATCGGAAACCTAATCAAACGTATGTAGGGTTAGGTTAAAAAGAAAAAAAAAACTTTACTTTTCTTGGGGGGGGGAGTTCTGCCTAAGTAGTAAAGCTTTTCAGGATAGATTCGATGCCCGCCCTTTTCTGTTGTTATTAATCGCCAAGGTTGGCAGATTTGAGCCAGAGTCTCGCTCCGTGGCCCAGGCTGGAGTGCGGTGAAACTGATCAGGGCTCGCTGCAGCTTGGACCTCACTGAGCTCAGGCCATCCCTCCCCTCAGCCTCCTGAATAGCTGGGACTAAAGGCCCGCGCCACCAAGCCCGGCTAATTTTTTGCATCTTGTTGTAGAGAGGGGGGGTCTCACTATGATGCGCAGACTGGTCTCGAACTGCTGTGCTCAAGCGATCCTCTCACCTTGGCCTCCCAAAAGTGTTGAAATTACAGGTATGAGTCACTGTAAGGAAGGAAGGTCTCCCCTTCGCTTCTTTTTTTTTTTTTTTTTTTGGAGTCTCACTCTGTCACCCAGACTGGAGTGCAGTGGCCGCTCCCGGCCACCGCAGCCCGGACCCGCTGGGTTCCGGCGATCCTTCCGCCTCAGCCTTCCAAGTAGCTGGAGCTACAGGCACGCGCTACCACACCCGGCTGATTTTTTTATTTATTTTGAGATGAGGTCTCGCCAAGTTGCCCAGGTGGGTCGCGAACCTGCGGGCTCAGACAATCCACTCACCTCGGCCTCCCAAAGTGCTGAGATTACAGGCTGAGCCACCAAGCCCGGCCTCCCCTTCTCTTCTAAAGACACTTGTCGCAGAGCGTGGTGGCTCATGCCTGTAATCCCAGCACTTTGGGAGGCCGAGGTGAGAGGATGGCCTGAGTCCAAGGGTTCAAGACCGGTCTAGGCAACTTGGTGAGACCTCATCTCTACAATAAATCAAAAAAGCAGTCAGGTGTGCGCGCACCCATAGTTCCAGCTACTTGGAAGACTGAGGCAGAAGGATCACCTGAGCCCAGCAGGTGGAGGCTGCGGTGGCTGTGAGCATGCCAC